ATTTTCTTTGAAGTAGGTCAAAGGTCGAAATGTTGGTCAGAGTGGCCTGCTTTTGATATGTGACAAACAGTCATACCAAGGTGTACCCGTGTGAAATAGAGGGCCTGGACAAATTTTTTTTCTTCAGTGTTGGCCAAATGTAAAAATGGAGGTCAAAATGACCTACTTTTGAGAAATGACACACCATCTACCAAGGTGGGCCATTTCCCAAGTATAAAGTTCCAATGATTAATAGTTTTGAAGATAGGTCCCTGACAAATGTTTTCTTTGATGTAGGTTAAAAGTCAAAATGTAGGTTAGAGTGACCTATGTGACATACCATCTTGCCAAGGGAAACCTATATGCCAAGTATTAAGTTTCCTTGCTTAGTTGTTTAGAAGACAGGACCAGGACAAGAAAGAAAGTGGACAGAAGGATGGAGGTACAGACTAACACAACATTAAAGTTAAGTCCCCTCCATTTCAAGGTGAGAGATTAATTACCAGCCAGCCAGTGCACAGTTGTAAAGCAGAATAAGAAATATGATAATTTGTGATCATCGATGTTTCATCTGAAATTCAAGAGTACAACATTTAATGTTTTGAACTTTTTTACCACCACTAAGGAATTGCTCATTGATTTTAGTGAAACATTCTGATTTCTTTTACCCAGTGTATTTCACAATAGATTGAGCTGCCTTATAAAAAAAAGTAAGTCTGTTAAATAGGAGACATTAGACAGATAATCAATGTAGAAACTGGCAAGGTTCCACCCATCTATTATCTCTATCCTGTATACAATGTGCATAGTAAGGTTCCACCTTCTACCTCTATCCTGTATACAATGTGCATAGTAAGGTTCCACCTTCTACCTCTATCCTGTATACAATGTGCATAGTAAGGTTCCACCTTCTACCTCTATTCTGTATACAATGTGCATAGTAAGGTTCCACCTTCTACCTCTATCCTGTATACAATGTGCATAGTAAGGTTCCACCTTCTACCTCTATCCTGTATACTGTACACGACAAGGTTCCACCTTCTACCTCTATCCTGTACACCATGTGCATAGTAAGGTTCCACCTTCTAACTCTATCCTGTTACAATGTGCATAGTAAGGTTCCACCTTCTACCTCTATCCTGTATACAATGTGCATAGTAAGGTTCCACCTTCTACCTCTATCCTGTATACTGTACACGACAATCCACCTTCTACCTCTATCCTGTACACCATGTGCATAGTAAGGTTCCACCTTCTAACTCTATCCTGTTACAATGTGCATAGTAAGGTTCCACCTTCTACCTCTATCCTGTATACAATGTGCATAGTAAGGTTCCACCTTCTACCTCTATCCTGTATACTGTACACCACAAGGGTCCACCTTCTACCTCTATCCTGTACACCATGTGCATAGTAAGGTTCCACCTTTTACCTCTATCCTGTATACAATGTGCATAGTAAGGTTCCACCTTCTACCTCTATCCTGTATACAATGTGCATAGTAAGGTTCCACCTTCTATCTCTATCCTGTATACAATGTGCATAGTAAGGCTCCACCTACTATCTCTATTCTGCATACAATGTACATGACAAGGTTCCACCTTCTACCTCTATCCTGTACACCATGTGCATAGTAAGGTTCCACCTTCTAACTCTATCCTGTTACAATGTGCATAGTAAGGTTCCACCTTCTACCTCTATCCTGTATACAATGTGCATAGTAAGGTTCCACCTTCTACCTCTATCCTGTATACTGTACACGACAAGGTTCCACCTTCTACCTCTATCCTGTACACCATGTGCATAGTAAGGTTCCACCTTCTAACTCTATCCTGTTACAATGTGCATAGTAAGGTTCCACCTTCTACCTCAATCCTGTATACAATGTGCATAGTAAGGTTCCACCTTCTACCTCTATCCTGTATACTGTACACGACAAGGTTCCACCTTCTACCTCTATCCTGTACACCATGTGCATAGTAAGGTTCCACCTTTTACCTCTATCCTGTTACAATGTGCATAGTAAGGTTCCACCTTCTACCTCTATCCTGTATACAATGTGCATAGTAAGGTTCCACCTTCTATCTCTATCCTGTATACAATGTGCATAGTAAGGCTCCACCTACTATCTCTATCCTGTATACAATATACATGGCAAGGTTCCACCTTCTACCTCTATCCTGTATACAATGTACATGACAAGGTTCCACCTTCTACCTCTATCCTGTATACAATGTACATGACAAGGTTCCACCTTCTACCTCTATCCTGTATACAATGTACATGACAAGGTTCCACCTTCTACCTCTATCCTGTATACAATGTACATGGCACGGTTCCACCTACTATCTCTATCCTGTATACAATGTACATGGCAAGGTTCCACCTACTACCTCTATCCTGTATACAATGTACATGGCAAGGTTCTACCTTCTATCTCTATCCTGTATACAATATACATGGCAAGGTTCCACATTCTACCTCTATCCTGTATACAATGTACATGACAAGGTTCCACATTCTACCTCTATCCTGTATACAATGTACATGGCACAGTTCTACCTTCTACCTCTATCCTGTATACAATGTACATGACAAGGTTCCACCTTCAACCTCTATCCTTTATACTGTACAAAGCAAGGTTCCACCTTCTACCTCTATCCTGTATACAATGTACATGGCACGGTTCTACCTTCTACCTCTATCCTGTATACAATGTACATGACAAGGTTCCACCTTCTACCTCTATCCTGTATACAATGTACATGACAAGGTTCCACCTTCTACCTCTATCCTGTATACAATGTACATGACAAGGTTCCACTTTCTATCTCTATCCTGTATACAATGTACATGACAAGGTTCCACTTTCTATCTCTATCCTGTATACAATGTACATGACAAGGTTCCACATTCTACCTCTATCCTGTATACAATGTACATGACAAGGTTCCACATTCTACCTCTATCCTGTATACAATGTACATGACAAGGTTCCACTTTCTATCTCTATCCTGTATACAATGTACATGACAAGGTTCCACATTCTACCTCTATCCTGTATACAATGTACATGGCAAGGTTCCACCTTCTACCTCTATCCTGTAAACACTGTACATGATAAGGTTCTATCTTCTACCTCTATCCTGTATACAATGTACATGACAAGGTTCCACTTTCTATCTCTATCCTGTATACAATGTACATGACAAGGTTCCACCTTCTACCTCTATTCTGTATACAATGTACATGACAAGGTTCCACTTTCTATCTCTATCCTGTATACAATGTACATAGCAAGGTTCCACCTACTACCTCTATCCTGTATACACTGTACACAACAAGGTTCTATCTTCTACCTCTATCCTGTATACAATGTACATGGCACGGTTCTATCTTCTACCTCTATCCTGTATACAATGTACATGATAAGGTTCCACCTAAATCATATCCGTGTTCTCTTCTTCTCTTACTCTGCATTGAACTATTCATGTAAGTAAATACTTTTAGCATACAATTGTTTTAACAAGAGATCCAAGAGGGCTCTGGCCATCCACCATTGTTTGATCTCTATTTGTTCTGTAAAAGTTTGATGTTTTCCTTTCTTTCCTCTTATCTATTTTTGCTCTTACTGATGAGAAATTTGAACATACCTTTGCAGAAATAGCAATGATAAATTCCATGCCTTCAGAATTCTTTAATGATGAATGACATATATTAGTGAAATATACATTGATATCTACTTTTTAATAACATAATCTAACTTATCCAGTGAATTCACCCATGTACACATTATATTATTCGTGTATCTGTCACTAGGGTAGTATACCTTGTAGTTTTTTTCCTTGGCTATGCCAATCAGAAATTTATTGTGATGTCACAATATGGACAACGCCATTACATCATAAGTTGAAAATAGCACAAGAAAATGGCTACCTCTGTTTGATTTTTCTTCCACATTTTGAATTTAAAAGTGGAGTTATCTGATAAATAGCATCATAGATTTGCTTTCATTTCATATGAGATTTTATGAAACTTGTCTCAACATTTTCATTTATGCTCACAAATTTTTGCAAAAATAAAAACTTCAAAGACTTAAAAATTTCAAATGATACAAAAAGTCATTTAAGATTCTATATATGTTATTATATAGATATGTCCTAAACTTATTCTAGAAAATTTACACTTAAGATTAAAGATCTTTTTTTCTCAATGGTTAAAAGTTTTGCAGATTTTCCCTCATGACACTGAACATGTTCTACTTAATTAATTTTATTTTCAAGAATCAGTTTTTCATGATCATAATTCATCCTCAAAAAAACCCAGAACCAGACCGTCTCAGAAATAAAAACTTGTACAGTATAATGGGGGTATTGTTATTGTAGCAAATCATCACTCCATTCATGCTGGTTTCTCCACTATGACTTATTCATGAGAGAGACAGTACATAGTTAGTCGATCTACTGGGGCAGTGCACTTATAACATCTAGATATATTTTTGTTGCTTGATATTTATTTCCTGTTACACACATAGAAGCCTTTATCTTGAGTAATGATGTAATATCTGACTCAAATTATATCCACCGCTGGCCTCTGACCCAACACACTCTCTACTCAGCAGTATCACCTGACATGATTCTGATGTATGCTCTTCTAAATATTGTTTATCTACATGTTTGCATCCCCTAACTCAATACCTACATAACATGCTCAGATGTAATTAAGATTTCACACTAATTTGTTCTGATGCAAAACTAAAACTTCTACACATTATAAAATGTGTTATTTTAACAAATGGAAGCAACAAAACCTGAATTGTGCTGAAGAAATATAATTTCATTTATTCTATCAGACAGAATAATTGAAATAAAGATGTTAGTAATTTTCATACTGTACAGAAGACACAAGCAAACTTCACCTTCCTATACAAATTAAGAGTTAGTAGTATTAAAGGCAAATAATAAATTAAACTGCAACCCTCTGGGACTTGTCATTTAGTAATATTCAGCATTGTTACTTACCCAGTTTTGAAATGCCCGCAATCAGGAGGAAGACTGCAATGGTAAGTGGCTGTTCTACATATTCAAAATGTATGCTAGCCACGTGTATACCATGAGAGTGTTCATCACTGTGGTGATCTCCTGTCATGTCACTACTGTTGTCACGGTAACCAGAATCATTTTGACCTGTGACCTCATTTCCATGGTGATCCAAAGACGGAATATGAACACTGGCTGTTGCCAATGTACATATAACCCAAAAGGAAACTACAAAAACACACAGAAATATCCTCAACATTTCCATCCTTGTCATTTACGTGAAAGATTCCAGTGAAAATGCCCTCACTGATATTCCGTCATTAAAACTGCACTTTTTTGTTTGATTTCATTTCATTTCAGATCTAATCTCTTTGTGTTCCATTATATTTCCTCTACATACACTTCCTCCACTTCACTAAGCAGATCTGGAAGTTCGCTTTCCATAGGACAGGTGTATCCATCTGGGAAAAAATGCTTGTTTATCAAAAATGCTTCTATAAAATACTTCCAATTCTTCTGCTTTGACAAATCCCAACATCAGCACATTAATATTATGGACATTATTCCCAAAGCTGGTGTTTCCCTGTTATCGCATCAGCAAATGTGAAATGGGATGGTATAGTTGTTGATGTGTCTGTCCCTTGCCGTGCCACACTCTACCACAACTCCTTCATTGTAAAGATTGCTTAAAATTTTACTCTATGTGTTAATTAAACCTATTCCCTCAAGATTCATCAGGAATTTAACCAATTGCTATCTGCAAATCATAGAAAATCTATAGATGTCTGGACTGTAACTTCTTTAATCATGTATTCTCACAGCATCTGAAATGAAATGATAAAACTTTTAGTGACAACAAAGAAGTAATTGATATTATAAACCTCATGAAAGAAAAATTACATCTCTTTTTCAAATTTTGCTGTGGAATATTATCTTATCAATTACTTTTTATTCAATTCACTGTCAGATATTCCCAGTTCACTCTGCTTCATCTGTGCCATCTGCCTATCAAGCTTTTTAACAACTTAACCAGTCTTTATGCGATCTTAATTAACACCTTTCTGCACTCATTTCAAATTCAAATAAGAATGTCTTCAAATCCATTTTTCTTTTCACTTAAAACATTTAACTGAAGCTGTATGTTCATCTTTAAAATGTCACAGGTCAAACTGATCTTTTACTATATGCTACAAGTGAAATAACAAAACTACTTTTGATTATTCAAAAGAGGGTGCTTGAAAAGTTTGACTCATTTGACCCTATGACCTTGAAAGTAGGTCAAGGTCATTTATTTAAACAACCTTGGCAGCTATTCATCAATGCAGGAAGCATTTCAGTATCCTGACCCTAGGACTTTGGAAATTGAGAAAAAGACGGTTAAAGATTTTAATTCATTTGACATTTATGAGCTTAAATTTTATCAATGTCATTCATTTGAACACAACTTGTAATCATTCATCCCAACATGCTACATGTCATTCATCATGACCCTGTGGCTCTTTGTTATTGAATAGTCACCAGGCTCCAGTTTCACCAATGTTCCATAACTTCAGGAAATCTTAACTACCATTGAAAAGTATTACGTAAGTTAAGGAAAAACATTGAGTTCCTAACTTATGTAATGCTTTCCTATGGGCTATTTTAAGTTAAGGAAAACTCCTTAGGTTAAGGAAGATTCATGAAACTGGGGTCAGGCATTTAATTTTATCATGAATATAAGATAAGTATTTGTATAATGCTTGTCTAATTATGTCGTTTATTTTCAATTACAATACATGTGTATTTCATTCCTGATATTAATGTTTCATAAAAAATACTGCCAACAATTTATGTAACATACACATCAAGTTAACAATGCTAGGCATGTGAGGTCTTGTGGTACTTACTATTTCACTTACATGTAATTGATTTCAATATTTTTTTTTCCTTCAATCCCTTCTTATATTTCTTGTATCTTACACACATTTAAAACGTTTAAATCCCTAAATCTGTTAAATTTATGTTAATCTCACCTTCTTTAACTTCGAACATCACGGTCACTGACCTGACTAAACCCCTACTTTGATTTAATCAAGTGGCCAGTTGCTCAAAGCTAGGTTAGAATTATCCAGCCTAGCTGAAAATTCCCTAATATAGATAAAACAAGAATATTCTTCAAAATTTCAGACAAGTAGATTTGTTTAAAAGGACAAATTTTTTTCTCGGTCTCAATTTTGCTTCCAAAATTTCAGCATTTTTTCAATGGCAACAATCTGAACTTTTTCACTAACCCTTGGTTGATTCTAACCAAGCTTTGTTAAACTAGGGTTGGTAGATCCAGAGGCATCAAGCTTTGTATGCTCTTTTCAATTTTTTTCTTTTGTCAAAATTGTTTTCCCTTCATAAAGGTTCTTATATCCATAAATGAACAAAATATTTTCTTATTTGAAGGAAAATGAAAAAAAAAGAAAAGATAAGTATATCCTGCTAGAAAAATTAAGTAAAAGCACTATAAAGCTAACAAAGCTTTGTCTAAATGTAGTTAACTTAAATCTTAATCAGTGAGGGTCAGCAGAGTTCACACCAACAATTATTCAAACCTAATAACTGCTACAGTTCTTATGACCTAATCAAGACCTGTAATGAGGATGTCAGTACTAAGTAACCCTGGTTTACAGATATTCTGCCCCGATTGATCAATATCCTCCTTCACAAAGGTACAGAATAAAGTTGAAGTTTCTCATCAATCTGAACAAACACTCATAAATCCTATGTATCTTTATAACTGAACTGAATAGATAATACAAATTTTTCTGTAAATAATCCCTAAAGATTCTGCTTCTGTTACAGATACGTATACATATTTTCTAATTCTGGCTTGTCAATCACACTTCCTTCACTGCCATATCTTTCAGTTTTGTAGTTTTCTTTCAAATTCAAATGTATTCCCCTGGTATGTGAAATTTCTGCTCCAAAAATTTCAAATCAATTTCAACAATTGCTTAAAATTCTAAACTTCCTATATCATTTGTGACAGTTATATTTAATACAAATGTAACTGATCCATCATCCACCCTATCATCTACAGCATGCAACTGAAGTACAATTTATAGCTATCTTTTAAAATGGTCTTCCACATATTTTTCACTATTATCTCACAAACCAAAACGTTTATGGTAGCTTGCCTTCGGTAGATAGTCTCATTAGAGCAGCTCTTTGTGTGTGTTATATGCATTTGATTTTAGACAACATGTACACCCAACCAGCAATTCCTTACAACACGAACTTGATGACAAGTCACAATAAAACGATAAATTTCCATTTCTGTTAGATAATCAATACCTGCATGTTCATTAACAGACGCTGCACAATATCAATTTAACCATAAAAACAAAAAATAAATTAGCATGAACATCACTTTCCACTTCATTAATCAATAATTCTTACCTGTATCTGGTTTACCTGTATCTTAGTTGTAGGAATTCCAGACAATGTCTTGCTATGCTATACATTAGTACCTCTTCCAACTTAGTAATATGTCTTTTTTCGTTTTCTAAATCCACTCGATTTTGCTTCCATTAAAATCCTCCTCCTCTTCCCTCAATACTTAATTCTTTAAGTTGAGAAGACCTCATATTTTCTCACCTTTAGATCTTTTTTGCCATCAATCTGTAACCCGTGTGTTTCTATTTCTATCACTTCCGTATGTCTAAGTACACAGTAATGAATGTAAGATGTGATTTCGTTGGTTTGCTATTTACACTACATCTTACCGCATTATAACAAAGATATCCAATTTGCCTTGATGTCCAAACAGTCCATTTACTTCGAGAGCCAGTGACATCCGTAACCCTCAGTCCTCCCTACAAACTTTTAGCCTTGAAACCATCTCCAGTGGTCTGGGCAATAGAACAGTCATTACACGCTGGCACCTACCTGTCCATAGCTGCTTGTTTTGTTGGTGGGGTGCCTTGTGAATTTGTAAGGCTTGCACCCTATACACAGACAGTGCAGTGTGATACTGGCACTGGAGAGAGCAACACAACAGGTCAGCAATGCTGAATTGTTGATAGACACCACATCAATCAATTTGACAGACAGGTACTTTAAACATTGTGTTGCTATGCCTGGCTACAAGACAATAAAACCATTATGATTAACATTAAAGCTGTTTCTGTAGCATCATTCTCAGAATAAGACATCATCTTTATAGAACAGCAATCTTAAAGGAAAATATTTCTAGAGAGCACAGGTACAGCAACAGTACAGTACTGGTAAACCTTTTCCTGATCAATCATCCATGGTTGTCAAGGTACAGAAAAATTTAGTATAACTGTTATCTCAGCATACATACAGTATTGATATACAACTGTTGTAATGGAACAGATTTTCAATGTTGATAAGGAACAGTATTGGCAAAAATATGGCCTATAAACAGTATCAGTGCAATTGGTACCTAGGATAATATTTAACGAATCTGCTGTCTTGGAAAAGTATCTGTAAAATTCTTAACAAGGAAAAGTATTTGGTAAAACTATTGCTAAGGAAAGTTAATGGATAGCCTGTTACTAAGTAACACTATCAGTAAATTTGTTACTATACAGCAGTATTGGTAAAAATGTTACTATGGAACAGTATTGGTAAAACTGTAACTAAAGAACAGAATTGTTAAAATTGTTGTCTAGTAACAATATTGGTAAATTTCTTGCCAATGAAGACTACAGGTAAACTAACAAATTTTTAAGTTTACATATTGTCAGAGATGAACTGCTATAAATGATGGTTAATAAACATTTAATCAGACTTTTATGAGAATTAGTAAAACTTATTGCTAAAGAACATTATAAGTGATGTTTTTAATTTTTTTTTTTTTTAATTTTCATTTTTTTAAATAGCATCACTTTTACTTCTAACTATTTTCCTTAGAGACAAACTTGTCCAATTAAAATTTGATAGTTGATGATACAAATTTTTAATTTCACAACGGTTTTCTTCTTACCTTGCAGTGCACAAAAATTTACTTCAAAAACAAAAACAATATCACATCATTAAAACCATGAAAAGGGAATATGGGGTTTTTTCCAACCATTTAAATCACCTTTTTGCAGACTTCAAGATGTCTGGAAGGAAAAGCTGATTTAGACCAAATGATTCATTTTCCTGTCAATAGTAAATAACCACATTCAGAACAACTTATCGTGTTTTTTTTTGCTGTCATTTCTGAGAGAAAATATATTACCCAGGGGACTGATGTCTTTACAGTAAGCTTTTAAATAAACATCACTGAATTTTTGTAAAGCATATTCATACGCTCAATCAGATGCAAGTTTTTGTTTTTCAATAGGCTATCAATGCTTTTATCAACTTTTCCAAAACCGTCAGAATTACAAAAATATGGTTATCAGGTGAAATATTCCAAGTATATTTTGAAAATATTACACATCAATGTTAAATAGTGAAAGTTTCTCCCCTACCTTTCAGA